CAAACCTCTCCAACCTTTGTGCGGAGTCGTTATTTGCACTAATTGCCAGGAAAGCAGTAATTCCTGCCCAAAATGCCTCCTGGGCTAGAAAGGAGCCAAAACCCTTGGTCCTTAGCACTGTCCCTGCCTTAGCAATCAGCTGAGAGGCTGATTAGAAATCTCCCTCTCTGTTTTGGAGGAAAAAAGCAAGAAATGGAGCAGAGGAGGGTCATTCGAGGCAGGTTTCCATGCAGGGTGGTGACTTGCTCATGCAAATCCCCACCACACCGCTGTCCCACTCCCGGGTCCCTTAGGAGAAGCATCACCCGGTCCCACCGTGAGGGGCTCTGGCGCCGGTTCCCCGAGTCAGAAAGCCACCGCCGCTGCCGTCCGTGAGTTTCTGCTCCGCCGAGGTGACACTCTCACGTCTTATCACAAGTGCCCTCCCCACCGCCAGCCCACGGCTGGGTGATGCTCTCCCCGAGTTGCACAACGTCCCTGTCCGTCAGGAGATGCATCTCCTGGAAGCGGCAGCCTGCCAGCGAGTCTTATCTGATTTCTGCAACTGGTCTGTGCCTAATTAAGTGTATTTTGCTCGGGTTTAGAATTGCAAAAGAATTGAGGGCACGTAGGAATTATGGTGCAGGTGTGGTCTAAAGACCGGGTGCGTTGCATGCAATGTGAGCGGAAACTTGAGTGGATGCAGTGATACCCCGCTGCGGCTTCCCATGGCCCTTTTCTTGATGGAAAGCGCTCTAGCTCAGTGCAACGTGTTTTTGCAGCACTTTGGAATGATACCACTACTTTTTATATATTTCTATAACGTTTGAAATGATTTAATTTGATCTTTTTCTAACATCTCTCTCCATTGATTTTAAAGAACACGAAGCGTTCAGCACCTCTGCACGTGCCTTACATCCCAGCTCTGCTTCTGATTCAGTCCGCTGATGTCCAGGCACATGGTCCCATCGTCGTTTGGTCCCTGAAGGATGGCACAGAGCAGCGTGCTCCTTGCTGTACTATTTTTGCAACAGAGTGGGAGTTGCAAAAAACCAGGAGTAACACCTACGCTGTTTGTGTCTACTCCAGTTCTTATCTCTATTTCACAGTCAGTATGTTTCACAACCTTAAAATATGCCTCAAAATTTAGGGGGGGGGAGTTACTAGCAGTGTGCTTCCATCATCTGCCTTGCAGAACCGGAGCTTTGCAGGGACCGGCTTTCTGCCACGCAGCACGTTCCCAAATCCTGCGGGGAGGGGGATAAAAATCCCTCGGTGGGCATGGCCCGGAGAAGAGGGCACGCACAGGGATGCTCGGTAAGTGCAAGCTGGCTTATTTGCGAAGCAGCTCGCTTCATCAGACCCGCCAAGCCATGAGCACACCTTTCTTCAGCGCCGGGTGCCAAGGCGCTGCCGTGTAAGGAGTGATCTTAGCCCACGGGCGATGCACGCCCATGATGGGCGCAGGTGCGAGGTATTTTCTCACAGCGCCAACGAGCAGCTTTTGGGCTCTGCCTTCCTGGCCAGGAGCCTGAATGTGAAGCAATTTGGCTGCTGAACGTCCCTGTTTAAACTCTCTGTAATTATTCCCCACAAGCGCGTTCCCACGTGGAGAAGCAGCAGCCCTCGCGGAGGCATTCTCTGACTCAGCAGAAATCGCTGAAAAACATTGTTTGCTTTCGGATGAAAGCTGCAGCACACCAGCAAAGTGGAAGGTACAAAGGTGTGCGGCTGTGGGAGGCTTCGGGATCAGCCAGGTGGAGCTCGGTCCTGTGCGGTGGCGTTCGCGCTGCGGGGCTGAGCAGCTAATTCGGCTGCTGGATGCCGATGGATGCTGCTGGATGCAGCCGAGCACCCGGGGAAGGGCTTTTGTAAAATGCAAAAGGGATAAAGGCAAAACAAAATGCCTATCTCTGATGGGGGCAAAGATGATGGCAAAGGATAGAAAGTTGAAAAGGGCATTGGATGTAAGAGGGAAGGTTTGGGTTAGCTGCAGGGATGCTGCCTCACTGCGTCTCTGAGAGCCAGCACCTAGGAACACACAATATGCCCTCAAGGGATTCAGGCAATGGGATGCTATTGGAGGAAGATTTTCACGAAGACGCTCTGTAAGCATCTTTTGGCCCCTTTTTAGGTAACCCAGAGGTAGATACGCAGAGTGGGTAAGACCTTTGCTTGTAACACACAGCAGGGTTAAATGTAGGAAGGAAGAGAGCAGAGGAAAGCGGTGCCCTCAAACGCGAACAGAGCCCAGGGTAGGCATTGGAAATCTCTGACCAGACCGGCCGCCCGCATTGGTGCTGACTCACACGAGCCACTGAGCTGCCCTCATATTTTATTAGACATCTTCACTTCTGCTGTGTCTCTCCAGTATGGCCAGCGCTCCAGAAAATTCAAGTCTAGAGGCGAAGATTTAATGGGGGTAGATCTCCCCCCTTCAAGTCCCTACTACCATCAGCTGCTGTGGCACATTTTTTCATGCCGTAGTGCAGCCGTGGCTGTGTGGATGTATCCTTGTCCCACCTTTGCTTGCCCCCAGCTTGCTCAGGTCAGGATCCTTCCCTGCCCTCGCAGACTTGCCAATTTTAACCAAGCATTATCCACAGAGTCGAATGTTATTGAAGACTGTTCAGGCGCAGGAAGAGGAAGCGAGGTGAAAACCGCAGCAGAGCTAAAATGATTAATGGGACACCGCTCTCAGAACAGCTTGGTTTGTGATATTAATAACAAGAGAATTCAGGAGGGAACCTAACCTGTTCCAAGCTGCAGAGCCGGCAGCAGCAGGAGACGCAGTTAGGAAGCTCCTGTGCTTATATTTGTAATGCAGGAGGAATCAAGTGGGCTCAGCGACATGTGATGCTGCACGGAGTCGGTGTAGGGGCTGAGACGTGCTTCCACCTTGCAGGGCTCATTCTGAACCTGCCTGAATTGCAAAAAAAGCATGCGGTCATAAATACATCATGGTGTAACCAGGAAGCACATAGATATCCATCAAAAATTACTCAGGCTTGAGAATGGTGAATGAAACAGGGAAAAATATGTTTATGCCACAAGGGAAGAAGACATGGAAAAGGAAATATTTAGTGGGAATGAATTTGCTTACAGGGTAAGAATAATTATACGTGCTGTTTCACATTTTCTTCTTAAGCATTCATGTCTCGCGGTGGTGAGAGATGGGATACAGGCTGGGCGGACACCTGGCCCCACGTTTCACTGTTCACCACAAGGAAAGAAGGAACCTGAAACCTTACTAATAGCAGCAGATAAACAATTCAGAAAGCAGACAAATTTGGGGCATGTCAGCTACTGAAAGCAGAGGAGAAATATAAGAAACTGCCCATGCTGCTGTGCTCGAAGGGGTTTTGCCAGTCAATGAGTCTGTCAATGGACTTTTTTTTTTATCCCACGGCATACCTGTGCAACCAAAGTGGGAAAGAGAATGTGGTGAAGCACATCAACCAAATCATGGTGGCAGATGGTCCAGCCCAAGCCCTTGCGAGACAGCTGAGCCCGCAGCATCCCCAGGGACGCTGTGCTGTTGTCACAGGTTTCTCCTACAGGTCCCTTGTGCCAAATCCTGAGAAAAAAACACTTCCAGTCCTGGGAAAAAAGGCGGCGGCCAAAAGCAAGAGCATCCAGAGCAACCTGCCATGGGGTGGTTTATCAGGAGCAGTGTGCTGTGCCCGGCCAGGCAGCGGCTGGCAGCTGGCTCCAGAGCATCCCGGCGCTGAAGCTCCCAGGAGGCATTGTAATTACTCAAGGAATCAGATCTCGGGAAGGATGACCAACCCGGGCAGCAGAACACCTGCAGGGCTGGTCAAAACAGTGGGGGAGGGAAGGGAAGAGTCTTCCCCTCGGGAGGCCGAGCTCACAGGCTTGAGCAGGGTGGATGGAGGGGCTGCGGTGCAAAGCCAGATGATTTCCTCTGCCAGACAAGGTCAAGTTCTGAGGTCAGTGGTTAAGTGATGCACACTTTGGCGTTTCTTGCATTAAATCCCGGAGCTGTGTGCGTAGGGGGAAATGGAGCTAAGGGCTGGGGGAAAAGGTAATAAAAACTCTCCACACTGTCAGTGCTAGCAGAAACCCTTCTCCTGCTCACCACGCTCGCAGAGGCTGGTGTGCCTTTCTCCTGTGGCTACGGCGAGTATATCCCCAGTTCTACCTGGCGAATATCCAGCTTCCACATCAGGAAAGTGTTTCTGGCTGGAAGGGGTGGACGCATGAGTTTGCGTTGATTTCAGCTCTCTTCACAGCTACCTCTGCAATGCCTGGGCATGCTTTGCCATACACGGCGTGCATTTTGCACAGTAGATCCTTTCATACGTATGAAGTTACAGACTTTCTGAATGAAAGTGAGGATATATAGAGTAAAGCTTTTCTATATCGTCTGACTTGCTACGGCCTAGCAGATAGAGCGGTGACACACTTCAGATGGGGATGAAGAAGATAACTAAAGTTTGGAAGCCAAGCTGCTTGATTTGTTTTGAGATCTTGGACTCCTCAAATTATTTTAGGTGTGAGCCAGGTCTGGCATTAGATGAGCAGATGGGCTTTATGCCTCCCTGGCTGGAGAGAGGCAGATTAAGGGAGCGAGGCTTTCCAAAAACAGGAGCATGACTTTTGCCAGGAGGACTGTGCCATGGCAGGAGCTCCCACATCTGTTGGCTATGGCGAGCCCCAGGAGGTGTTTGGGAGCAGAGCAGGCTCCTCCTCATGTAAGGGATGGCAGAGCTGCGAAAGCACCCCCACGCCGCCGTCCAGAAGTAGTGGGGAGCATCTGGGGGAGGACACAGTTTATCTGGCAGAATTCATACGGGGGATTATCAATAAACTGCCGGCCCTTTATTGTGGAAACTGAGTTCTCTCTCCCAGATGTGCTGCAGAGAAACTCCAACCTGTGAGAGGGAGAACAAAGCCACTGTCCCGCTATTGAAAAAACTGCTGCGCCCTCGATTTACACCCCGGCTGCTGCTGTAAAGCCCCTGCTATGGGATTAGCTGTGGTCCCCACAGCGTTACGGGATGGACCTAGGCAAGTCCCCACTGATACCTGGAAGGAGTCCCCTGCCCTGCTGGGAGCAGGCGCTGGCGGCGACCTGTCACCAGGCCGAGCTGCCTCCCAGCAGAAAACGAGGCCGTTTGGGGACTGTCAGAAAACTTCTCGCATTTCGGGTGAGAAAGGCAATATCTCCAAATAAGGTGTGAATGAAGAGTCCCCATCAGATCGGGCTGCTCTGCCCGGCTCTCCGGCAAGCGTGCAGGGACCTCTTGTGGCAGCTGTGCCCGGGAGCTCCTGTCCCCGCTCTTCTGTACGGCTTCTTTTGGGACGAGCCTGGCCTCCCAGCCTGTGGCATGCGGCTGAGTATTTGGCCTGATCTGGTGTCAAGGGACTTCTTTGTAACTGGCCTTGGAAGTCTCCAGCTCCGAAACAGTCCCCAGTTAATGCCATCGCTGCAGAGGAAGGAAGACGAGGAGAAAAGGCTAGAGACAGGGCTTGTGAGAAACCACTGCCCAATGGCAAGTCCTGGTAAAATTAAGTAAAATCTGGGCTAAAATTATCTAAAAAGTAGTATTTATGTAGCTGTTGCTAGTGCTGTAGCAGTGGGATCAAAGCCCCTGAACCAGAGGCTCAACTAATCATGTCTCAAATTCCTCCCATGCGGAAGTGGTAGGTAAAAGCTCTCCAGTGTCCAGAAGCATTTTAACTATTCCTGTCCTCGACCCGAGCCTGGCCGAATGCTCATCTTTAGAAGAACAACACCGTGAAGGGAGGAGCCCCCGGGACAAACGGGGCCGGGCTCGCAGGCGTTTCATGGTCTGGGACTTCTCCCGCAGGCAGGCGGAGGGCAGGGCTGTCACCGCGGAAAGGGGTGGTCGAGACTTCTGAGGCTAAACCACTGCAGACGACTTCTCGTTAGGAATCATCTCTCTGCAATTTTATACCGCGATGAATTGTTAAATGATTTTCCTCCTCGGTGCCCTGAGCAGGCCAGCATGTCTCCAAGGCACGTCTCCCTTTCCTTGGCGTATCTTACGCTAAACAGAAATGTCTTCACATTTGGCCTTCTCAGTAACAGATTAGCCTATGTGATCCTTCAAGTCCTAATACATGAGATTATTTATAATCCCCTGAGCAGTCCAGTCCGCCGATTACTTCAGGCAGTGTCTCCCCACCACTTAATCGTTATGAAATTACATTGTCTTGTCCGGCTTTTAAGCAAATTTCTGCAGCATGAACAGATGCCTTTCTACCGGTTGGGACTATCTCACCCCTCTCCTTCAGATCTGATTTAATAGCTCCCCTCCTCAGTGTCCTTTCCATCAGCGTATCACGTGTGGATGTTTTAGTGTCCATCACCCCAGCCAGGGCAGCGACTGAGAGCTCAGGCTCCTCACGTTTCTGTTTCAGCAAAGAGAAGGTAGAAGATTTCATCCAAAATTAATACCTCAAAGGAGAGGCAGAGTTTGACATTAATCCGTGTGTACACGGTGACTCATCCCGTCTGCAGAAGAGAAGCAAGGTCTGTGCAGCAGCCATGCTTCTGGTGGAGACATCAAAAAGCAACAAGGGAGCGATCAAATTACAGGAAGCTGGAAAAGCAGCGTAGCTGTAGGGTGGAACTACAGAAATTGTGGGTATGGGATCCTGAATTCCCACAAAGCCTGGACAGCAGAGCTGGGGTATCCCAGACATCAGGGAGCTCCTCTCGCAACCAGACACGGGACAGGGGAAGGGAGGACAAGGGCGCTGTGGGCAGAGCGGTTTTTTTGGCAGGGCAATTGGACCTTCTTGCTTGCTTGATGCGCGATCAGATCTGGCAGAGCGCGCGTCTGTGTGAGGGACGGCTCTCCAGCACAGCGCAACGCTGCAAGAGCTTCACCGGCATCACGTGCCGGGCATGCTTTGGGGCGAAGGACCACCGGCCGCAGCACCTCACGGGTGAGGTGTTCAGCCAGCCGGTGCCACCGAGGTGGAGGAGGAACCTCAGGGGGACGAGGAAGGTGTCCCCAGCTCCAGCACAGTGGCGGGACGCCCAGGCGCCGTCTCCGTGGCACGCTCGCAGCCGGCTTTTGGGTTGGCCATCGTTTCTGCCGTGCGATGCCCCGGGGAGGCTGACGCACACCCCGGGGTGCTCATTTCCCGTTCCCCCCTTCTCCCTGAGTCACACGCTCCGAGGGGAAGCACTGCCCCTGCGTGTCTGCGTCCCTGCGTGGGGGAATGCGGGAAACGCCAGCGGCGGGGCGGCTCCCGCAGCCCACCCGGGCCCTTCCCCGCGGGGACGATGC